TTATGTTGGTTTTATTTTAAATTAGCAATTCTGGAGGTGTTTTTTTAAATTTCAACAAAATATTGAAATTACATATATATATAATAGATTATATTTTCAATAGTTATAGGTCTTTTTCTCCACATACATAGTGCAAATAATCTTTTTGTCTCTCTGAAAAAGAAATAGCTAGTACAAAAAAAGGATGCATTTACTGCTTAATACCATACATGAAACGTTAAGAAAATGCTTTAGAGCTATACATAGAATGATTTAGATTTGATGGTCTCAGAACTGCCTTGTTTGCAAATGCCTGCTCAGTGTGTAACTAGCAACACAGAAAGGAAATGTTAAACATCACTTAGATCTTTAGAAAGATTTGCTTTTCATCTTCACAGGATCACACTGGGACTTACCTTCCCTTGCTGTACTAAGGAAGTGTCAAGTATATGACATAATGGTAGTATTTTTGAGACTACAGTTAAAAAAATTCACCACCACCCCCCCTGCCTGCTTCCCCAAACATGGAGTCTCAAGCTGTAATTATGATGCCATGATCAGAAAGTTGTGTTTTGTCAGGTTTGGGCCTGAGCTGATGGCAACATAATTCCACACTGTTGGTAGGAGCATGGTGCAGCTGTGCAGAATGAGAATGTTTGTTGTTGTTTATTGTTTAAAGAGTCGCTTTTTTCTCTAACAGACTAATGAAGGGATGTTTAGTACATTTGTACTGGTTGACTGATTGTTACAAACTTGAGTTTCAATCGATCAAATAAAATGAAATAAATCAGCAAATATCTAAAAGAAAATATTCACTGAGAATTTGTCCCTTTTTTTTTTTTTTGGTAACTGTTTATATAAACTCCACACAGTTGCATAATACCTACACAGTTTAAACATTGAATAATTACTTGCACATATATATAATCAATGGTTTGACATTAATTCTTATGGAGTAAAATTATTATGATACATAGTTTCACTTTAAAACTGTGTCTGAAAAAGCATAGCGTCATATCCTCTTCAATTACTAAAATTAAAAATGTAAATTTTGTAAGCTCTCTAGAATGGCAAGAGACTGTACCTAACCCAGAGGGAATAGGCAGATTCATTGTTACAAGTAAAACTAATAGGGCAGGAAAGAGTACAGAGTATAAGTTAAGCATTAAAATATAGAAAATCAGCTAAACAATAAATAAAATAAATGAAACATTTATGATGTACTGAAGATAAACTATTTCAAACCCTGGTAAATATTAAAGGGTTCTTGAAATATGAAAAACACTCCTCTTAAGAAACCTGACATGGAAAAATTATTTCATTGACTATTAATATAATAAGTTTATTTCTATCTAAAAGAAGAATTTAAGGTGATTGGAGGTGGAGAGTGGTAAAAACTACATTATCATATGGGAAGAAATAGTTCACTAAGCATCATAGAAAAGAATAATTGTAGATGTGAAAATGACATTGTTTCATGGCTGAAGAAATGAAGTCCAGCCATAGAAGAGGTGCAGAAAACTGCACAGCCGGGCCTTTGGTCCCAAGCTTAGAGCAAAGCCCCTTTTATGACCTCAAATAACCACCAATACAATAAACTCAGATTAGATTTTTTCTTTTCCTTTTTTCTTCTTCTGAGAGAGACATAATATTTTAATTCAGGAGGTTTTCAGATTAAGATAGGATATAGAAAACTTGATTGAAGTGTGTAAAAGTTTGAAAATATATAGGCTGGTTTTGCAGTTGGTGAAGACTATCAGGACAGAAAGAGCTAGGGTACGGGATAGGAAGAGGGAAAGAAAAGAGGAACATTGGTGGTTTGTGGGGAACTAGAGAGAAAAAGCACAGAGGAAGAGAGAGAAAGGTGACAGGTAGACAAAAGGCTCAATGAGTTTCAAAGATCCTGTTGGTCAGGACTGATAACTGCACTAATTTTCTTGACTTATAGGCTGACAAATGTGATCACTTATTCCTTCTAGTATTCTGAAAACTTGACTCACTTTCTGAACCCTAGTCATTGTTCTTCAACTGCTCAAGAAGTTATGCCTCTGAATCTCTTTATCAGGTGATAAGCAGAACATTTGCCAGTGGAGAATTTAAAAAAAAAAAACAACAACAATAATAATCAAAGCAGGTCATCTTTAGGTCTTAAAAAAATCATACCAACAGGCTATCTCTCATCCTATTTCTTTACCTATGTTTTGAGGAAAGGGCATTGAGTTTCAGTCTCTTTTATTGTGGGATTTGTAATTAGCACTGAAATTCTTGATCAGTAGAGGTGTTTTGAAATGTAAATCTGAAGACCTCTCTCAACTACAGACATACATTTTACAAAAAAGAATTCACTTTAAATTATAAGTGTGAAATTATTTAAGACAAATAGTGGCCAATTGATGATTATGACATAGCATTTGCTTTTAGTAATAACCTTTACAAGAAAGCAAGTGACACAAATTCCTTGGCCACAAGCATGAGAAATTTGTACTATGTGGGGATCTGCTCCCACTCTTTCTGTAAAACCTCATATTCAATACAATCAATTCAAAAACATTTTTCTTTTTCATATGAGTATAGAAAGTGATATTTCAAAGAAATTCAATGTCTGTTTATTTGTAGCCAAATTCCAAATAGGTTATTCATACTGCTTATTATTCATGTGAACTGTGCATATAATGTATAAGGATTGTTGAATGTTGGACCTAGTGGAGAAAGGAAATTCATATCTGGAATTGTACCATCTTTAATATTTTCAGTTGTTCTGCCCACCTCTAATACTGCTGCTCAATTTTTTATTATATAAAAAGTGAACATGGGCATGTTATACAAAATCTGAACGTGGGCATGAATGACATCAAAGGTACATGCCATGAAGTGCCTATTATATGTAGGTACATTCTTCAGAAATAAAAGGTGGGACTCATAATTCTTGGCTCTGTAGGTTTATAATCAACTTGAAAGACAGAACATATACTTTAGGAAAGATCTAAATGCTAACATTTATTTGCTAAACACTAGCATAGTTTTTAATCTTGATTTTCTTTCAGTGATTGGCAATCAAATATAAAGAACTTTACTATATGACTCTTATTTTATTCAACTATACCTCCCTGTAGTGAGTACTTCGCATAAACCATCTCATCTAATCATACCACTGCCTTTGAAATAGATACCATTCCCTCATTTTGGACATTAAGAAATTGAGGCTTAGAGAATTTAAGTTACTCCCCCAGTCATTGTAAATGCTCTTTATTTTTGTCATCTGAGATGAAAGTGGATGTTTTTGCTTAAAATAGCTCTGTAAGAATGTATTGAAAAATTCCCTACTCAAGTGTATTTACTAGCCATGTTTGAAGTACATCTTATATAGTTAATCTACATTTTCCTCCCTTAACTTGACTTATTTACATTTGAGAGAATAGTTGGCTTCCAGGAGGAGAAATAAATCTAACTTATAGGAGCAGAGAATCTGGAGGCATGCAGAAATTGGTATGCATCTTGAAAGAGAGTTCTAATTAGAAAGACCTCTTAAATCTAAAAGCTTTTCCCTTTGGTATAAGTCACTGACTATGTGAAACATGGTATTTTACATAAAAACTAGTGTTTTGAATGAATTGCTTGACGCTCCATGGTCCTGTACAACATTATAAAGGAAGATCAACTAGGATGCTTGCTGCTGCAAATCAGAATAATAGATCAACAAGACAGAACCCTAGAACATTAATATCTTAAAGAATTAGTACACAACAGAAAAGAGCTGTGAAGTAAAAGAATACAAACACATATACATATTGTGTTGAGTATTATATAGACACAAACATATACATATAAAATGCAAATATTGATGAATTTCAGGGAAGTGATTCAGATAACTCCATTTATGCATTTTTGAGTGCCAAATATATTTCTTTGGTCTTCTTTGTAAAAAACAAGGAATTGTTTATTTGACATTTATTGAACTCTTTAATATGTAAGTAATTATATTCATTGATAAGGTTATAAAAACAGAAGATACTCTTTTGTTTACAAGGGCTTCCAGCATCCTGTGGGAAAGATAGCACTGCAGTGGTATAATGAGGTAGAGGAAACATTCACAGAAGTTTTCTTCCTAGAAGAAGAAAAATGTGAAAAGGTTTCTAGGGGAAGGGAAGTCTGAACTGATTCTTAAAGATAAAGTGGCAGTCAGGCAAAAGGAAATGAAAAAATAGCATGAATAAAGGCCAGGAGCTTAAGATAGAATGATGTGTGTAGGATCTGGGATTATTAGGATATAGCGATGAAGAGATGAGAGTTGAGGGTGGAGAGATAGGTCAGACCCAGTACGGCGAACTGCATTTTATATTACCAGTAATCATGTGCCTTCATACAGCTTAAAGCATGGCAGGATCAAATTTGCATCCTACAGATCACTCTAGAAGCTGTATGGGAATGGTTTTCAAATAGAAAAAACAGAATTCAAGAGTTAATTTAAGAAGCTGTTACACAAATGTGAGCAAGAAATACTCAGTAGTTCAACCAGTTTCCTGATTCAGGGATTGAGTGATGATGGCTGAGGGCTTAAGCAGTATTTGGGAGATACCTTTGGTAAGACTTGGTGCTTATGTGGATGTGGGTGGATAAATTGGATTTCTCAAGAGTTTTAGCTTAGTGGCTGGGTGTGGGGGTGTGGAGGACCATAAATCTGAGATGGGCAAGAGACATAAAGTAGTTGGGCAGCTTAGTGATAAATGGTCAATTTGGTTTAAGGTAGCCATGATTTATCTAGAAATAATTGATCAGCACATGTACATTTTACTCTATAGCTGAAGAAAGATCTGAGTACACATTCTCTTTTGTGTAGTAATATCCTGTGTTATCTTTCTCCTCTTTTAGCTTAAAGCAAATATGTACATCTCCATAAATACATAGTAATTAATATTATACCTCCTGGGTGTGTATGAACAACAAATGTTGGCATTAGAACAGGAAAAGCTTTGAGATCAAAATGCAAGTCATCAAATAGTTGTTTTCGCTTTTTCTTCCAGTTTTGTCTGTGGAAATGCCTGTGTCAGAAGGGCACTGCTTCAGCTGACTTGCTCGGCTCTTTCTTTTGAGGACCCTGGCTCTGGGGCTCTGTCCAGTTCAAAATGGCAGAAAAGGCTCCCCCAGCCTTAAACAGGAAGACTTCCCGGTCCACACTTTCTCTTCCACCTGAACCTGTGGACATTATTAGGAGCAAAACATGCTCCAGGAGAGTTAAAATCAATGTGGGGGGCCTCAACCACGAAGTACTGTGGAGAACGTTGGACAGGCTGCCCAGGACAAGGCTGGGGAAGCTTCGGGACTGCAACACACACGAGAGCCTCCTGGAGGTGTGCGATGACTACAATCTGAACGAGAACGAGTATTTCTTTGATCGACATCCAGGAGCCTTTACGTCCATTTTAAATTTCTACCGGACAGGGAAACTCCACATGATGGAAGAAATGTGTGCCCTCTCTTTTGGCCAAGAGCTTGATTACTGGGGGATTGATGAGATCTACTTAGAGTCCTGCTGCCAGGCCAGATACCATCAAAAGAAAGAGCAAATGAATGAAGAACTGAGGCGAGAGGCAGAGACTATGAGAGAGCGGGAGGGAGAAGAGTTCGATAACACCTGTTGTCCTGAGAAAAGGAAGAAACTGTGGGACTTGCTGGAGAAACCCAACTCGTCGGTGGCTGCAAAGGTATGAAATTCATAGTCTTGCTTTCCAGTTTGTGGTCAGAAAAGATTAACATCTACCTTCCAGAGAGCATCACTGTCTATGCTTAGGATGTTTGGGAAAGAGCACAAAATGTGGTTATAAAGTGAAAAATTCTTTCCAAAATTTGAATAGGTTAAACAGAATGACTCTTCCTGTGTCATGTCATAAGATGGCAGTACTCTTTCATAGATAGGTTTTTCCTGGTGCTTTGTGGTGCTGATGACTTGGAAATTCTGGAAATACATCCATTCGATGTGAAATCTTGCAGGAGGCTGAGGCCTGGCTTTCATCCCGAATTAAGTCAAGGTGCTGTTGTTGTAGTGGAGCAGAATCCGATAAGCAGGTTCTTAGGAAGTTCAAAGAAAGGCAGGAATGTGTGGTACCATGTAGCTGGTGGGTATGTGGTGGTGGGGAGCCCATGAGGAGAAAAGGACTGTGTTGGTTCAAGGGATGTTTCAAAGTAAAGGATGTGTCAAAGTGAACCTCACACCTTGTGAGGTTCCCTCTGACAGTGATGCTTTTTGGATGTCTGCCCCCCCCCCCCCATAACTGAGGTGTTATTGTGACTCAGAGTTCATAAAAGTTTTTGCTTAAAAGAAAGCTAAAGTCATGTGTTTCCATTGTGCCTTACTTAGCTAAATCTCAGAATAAAATATTTTGCTTCTAATTCTAGTATTTAATTAAACTTATTCTGTTTAACATATTTTAGTTAGAGCTTTGAGGGTTATCTCAATCCAATTTTCAACCCATATGCTAAGTACACTATTACAATATGAACTATGAGTAAAAAGTTAAGAAGCATCCTTAGCTATGCAAGTATATGTTTTACACATTCTATAAATTGGAATATGAAATAGAAAAAGGGTGTTTCATACAAGTTCTTTTGGTGTTTTATAGTGTTTTCAGTGCTTTCTTATAACCAGTAAAGATTATGGGAATAGATCTTATATGCCTGTTGATTGGAAATTAAGATTCTGTCTGATAATCTACAAAATATGAGTAATGTAAATAATCTGCTGAATGCAGATGATCTTAAACTGCTTATAATACTCTTTGATATATTTAATTTTGTGTCTTGTTGACTTCTAAAGACATTTGCCTTCTGACCAAATGAGGAACTAAATGAAATAAAAGTTGTTTCTGTGTGCATAATGAAAAAAATGCATGTTTTGGGTAAATGGAAGTTCTTGACTAGACTTGTTCATAGTTAGGATGATTTGCTTTCTTTTGTTTAGCATGGAAGAAAGAAATAGATGTGATATATTTGTGGATGTAGGTTGAGAAAGGTTAATTCTCTTTTTAATGTTGTGTTTAGTTATATATTTGAGTAACTAAAAACATTGAGTGAATTTTGAAAATGTATGAGATAGATTCTGGATTTAAAGGAGTATTTTGTATGGAATGAACTCTTTCAAGTCTCTTGGCAGCTAAGAAATAAATTATTCTTCCACTAAGTATTCTAGAAGGAGTTAGCTGACTTTATAAAAATAAGCTGCTAAGTAAACAAAAAAACCTCCAAAGGCTACTGTGGTCTGCATGTTCATAACATTATTTACATATATCTAAATTTAAGGGCTGCTATATGAAAAAAATTTAAATCTTGACATTTTTTAAAGAATTTCTAGTAATATTGGAATAAAGTCCAATAAACTAATTTCTCAGATAAGATAGTCATTTAATCTCAAAAGTTTAGAAAAAGTAGTTAGATCTTGATCTTTAAAAAGATAATGTGGACAGATATACAATGCCATTGTATACCTCTATATCAAAACTTTCTTCAATTGCTGTTTGTGTTATAGATACCTCAGAATCCCTCTTATACTGTGATGCTCTTGTATAGGAATGCTAAGAATCTATGTGCTTTTCCTAACTTGCTTAGGAGTAAGATGTCTGGAGAAGAATGTTTACCTTGCCTTTTCAGTTATTGCTTATTCGGTTTGGTAATTCAGTTGAACATATACAGAATGTGCTGTGTGTGCCACACACATTATAACACATCCAAGACACTCCTCTCCACAATTTAAGACATCTTAACTTACACAGAGATTTCATATGCTTGAAAATATGTTTCTATTTCTTTTTTGATTTTCCGGTATTTTATAAGTTATCTATAATACTTTTTGTATTCATTAACCTGGAGTAAATACTCATTTGTGAATAAGCAATAATTCTTTAGTCTATGTTATTTGCATCCACTATGATATACAAAATTATTACAAGGCCACAGCTCTGTAATCTTTTGTCTTTGGCTATAATCCAGACAATAACAGTCAGGCTCTTATAACATATACTTCTTGGTGACACTTCTGTTTATTGAACTTTCTGGCATTTTAATAATGGGGAAAAATGCCAAGACAGAGTTTCAGAGTGAAACATGGAATGTCCATGTTTTAACAAATCAACATTTTTATATGTTCTTATGGAATATAATTGTATTTATTTACAAAATAATTACAATATTAATAGAAATAGTTATTTTGTAGCTTTCTGTGGTGTGGTATGATTTTCTCATGGGACACAAATCTTTACCCATATGATGGGCTTGTCAGTGTATCTTCTTGACTGTACCTGCACCCTCATGTGGACTTGATGTGTAAGCTTCAAGTTGAACCTATGTGTGAATGTGAGGTCTAGCCAGATGAGCCCAGGGTTGGGGTGAATTTTTGGGTTCCTAGACATGGCATTGCTGGTTCTGGTATGACTTTCATAGGAATGTACAAGCAGAAGAGATAGGTTTAACTCCTTGCCAGTTTCTTGGGTGCGAGTGAATTTGAATTAGACTTAATCCTATATTTCTTCCCACCCAAGGTAGTTTAGTTTACCTCTAGATGGAAACATTTTTCTTTTCTTTGGGCTCTTTCCAAAGGAACTGCAGTAGTTTTCCTCCTTTAAATACTGCATATACAGTGTCAATCTAGGAGGTGTTTGAAAGTATTTAAAGGAGATGGGGCCTCCAACAGGCAATAGTATCAGCCTTTGGGATGAAACAACAACCAGGAACTAGCACAGCCTATCTGGCATCTGAAAGACATTAGACTTAGTGCTGTGTATGCCGTCACTCTGGGTATTTGAGATGGTGAAGAACAATGGAAGTCAAAGCCTCTGCAGGCAAACCCAGGTAGGAGTAGCCAGCCCCCCAAAGCAAGCCTCCACCAGGGCATACATGGGCATGGTGTAGAGGAGAGTGTGTCCATGGGCCAGTCTCAAGGGCCGGACAGGACACTATTGATAAATCATACACATCCCTGATTTGAGAAGAACAGCATAAAGCAAAACCTACGGAAAGTATTTCTACCTCTCTGAGCTAGTAAGTGCCACTGATAGCCTTATCAGGCAGGGTCGAACATCTAGTGGGCAGTCGGGGTGCACTGTTCATTGTGTACTTCCCTCTCCCCAGATTCCTCACATAGTCACAGCTACCACATTTATTTATTTATTTTTAACCTAAGGAGTTCTCCTTATTCCTGTTAGATTTTTGTTCACTTCTCTCTTCCTCTTCATTTCTCCTTCTCTCTCTTCTTCAAGAAATGGTTCTATATTAAGGAAAGGGAGGAGAATTAATTAAATAATTATCTCAATTTTTTTCCCATGAATGACCTTCTAAGGAGAAAAGTTTAGTCAAAGAGTTAAATTTAAATATCCCCTAAAGAGAGAAACTAAACATTAAAGCCAAAATTCTATGAAGGAGGGTGGAGTTTAGGGCGCTATATGTAATTGTATACCTAAGATTTTGCTCACATCTTCCCTCAAGAACTGCTTTTCTCTCCATGGCAGCAACTCTACCCCCATTGAAAATTCACAAACTAGAGGGAAGGGGATGATCATGTCTTCTGGCACCTGAACATCCCCACGGCCATTGCCCTTTGCTTGGCTTATGCAGCACCTACAACAAGCCTGGAAGAGTGGAGAAACCGTAGTTGTCGTTGGGTTGAGAGAGGAGCTAGTGGTGGCGGATGCATAGGATCCAGCCCCTGGAGCTCCAGTTCTCTAGAAAGCCAGAAGCCCAAGCTCCAAGTCTCCCAGGAGACACTGCTCTTTGGTTGCCCTATTGGTGCTAACTTCTTAAGGACCATGCCTACTCCACTAACCCATTAAAGTGTGGGGTTTTTTTAAAGTCACAGATATAGTGAAAAGAAAATAAATCTAAAGGAAAAAAACTGCATACTCACCAAAGACAAAAAAATTCAAAACCTTCTCATTCCATGTATAGTATATGGATCAGTTACTCTTATCTTTGAATTAAAAAGAAGTGTTGGATCAGAGCCACAAATGATTTTCTTTTAATTCAAGAACAGAACTTTTATATGTTGTGCTTACCTATACATATACTCAAGTGAACAATTCAGCCTATAAAGAAATCCCTTGATTTAGATTTCTGATGATTTTCTTAGTGATAAACAATAATAATACACAATAAGCATTAACACCGTAATGAATGCCCCCTCCTCCCTCACTCCCAATGAACTGATAATAATGTGGGCACACAAAGAAATAAATCTACCAGTCAGGTACTTCTGTGGACTGTGCAATACTCCAGTTCTTACCTGGGATTATCAGGGACTTAATTAACGTGCAAGTCATGCTGTTTGGGCCTGACTATTTACTGTTTTCCCCTCTATCCCTGTCTTTCTAGGCCTAGCTGCATAGATAAAGTGGTTTGTGTTTTCCGATAATGTGACACCAAGGTCCAGAGGTGTTCGCCACAGGGAACATTAAGGAATTTGGTCAGACTGTGCAAAATTAATTTGGAGATACAGTTTTTCCTTTCTAAATATATAATCCTTGCAGACAAACAGGTTGAAATCCTGGAAGAAATTAGGCATAAAAAATAAAGCAGATCAGATAGAAAACAACATTGTATTTGTTTAAAATTCCTCAGGTGTCCCATCACTTGCCTGTGTGGTCCTGTCTTTAGAGCTGTGCTTCTCTGACTTCCCTGAAAGACAGCCCTGCAAAATGCACCACTCTGCCTGCTTGGTTTT